CAGGCCAGGGCTTGTTCTGATGGAGCTGCAAATTATTTCATTCCAGTGACGTGAACTAAACAAAATTAGATGATGTCATAGGTAACAGCAGAGAGAAGTGTGAGAGGTGAATGGGTAGCAGTGAGCCCTTTGACGATGTTGGGAATTGGTGGGAGTATGTCCGCTGAAATTACTCAGGCCCGTAGGTGGACATGCAGAGGGCCTCCTGGCAGCCCTTCCAGAAGTGATCTCACATTTACATGCTTTCATGTGACTTGAACATGCCCCTCCCCACAGCCCCCCACTTCCAGAGGACCTGCCTACAATCATGCCATGGCCCAATGCCCCCTGCTTCTCTGCTGTGCTGTACATTGTGCAGATGTGTCTCCTGTGCTGTTTCATGATTATTTTCCAAGTAGTCAAGGGATGGCAGGTCCACACATGGAAACATCTGCTCTTACCATTTTTCTAAGCAAACAGCAGATGGCATTGCTGCTGTCCTTTTGATCTGGAGCGAGAAGTCCCAAGTGTGAGGTGTTGGTTTACATGGAGGATGCCTGGCAAGGGGCGACCTGGGTGTTTGCCTCCCCGACAGTAGCACCACTTACAAATGTTTTCTCTGCAATTCTCAGTTTTAGTTTGTTTCTTCCTGTGATTCTACTTCTGCAGGGTGTCTTGAACCTTGATTCTTCCTCCTATGGTTAGTGCTTAGTCACCTCCGTGATTCCAGCCATGGTCTCCAGGTTCCCTCCCATTGGTCATCTGTAAGGGGTAAAATGTTGGTCATTGTCATAGAAGAACAATTAGAACTGTCACTCTCAGGACGTAGACACTGGACATAGAGATGCCATAGATGAAACAAGATTATCTGAGAAATAGCTGAACAAGCAAGCCTTTTCTAGGCACGTCCTCAGCTAAACCAGGCCATCTTAAAACTTACATTTTTTAAAAATGGATATGTATGTACTCTTTTGCATTTGCACTCCTTGAACAACTTTATCTATATAAACAACAAAAATGTATATTTGTTTTCTAGATAGAATGATAATATCTTAATGGAAGAACAAAAACGTCCTTCTTACAGTTTTCCTTGGTGTATTCTGAATTTCCGTTGGTGACACCTGCCACACTTACTTATTCTCTAATATCTTTATCTAGTAGGTCTTCTTTGATGTCATCAGATTCTTCTAGTCTTGTATATTCTATCATGAGTTCCAGGAAGTGTGAATTTCCTCCTCTGAAACATGGGAGATAATTAAAGTCTTTTTTAGGGCAATTGTCATAGGATTAAATGAGATCACCTGTCCCTGGTAGAGGAGCCTCGATGGCATGGTGAGCTAGGCGTTGGCCTGCTAACCACCGGGTCAGCAGTTGGAAGCCTGCAGCTACTGGTCAGGAGAAGAGGCGGTGTTGTGCTCCTGTAAATGCTACTGCCTTGGAAACCCGCTGGGGCGGTTCTATCCTGCCCCGTCGGGGTGCTGTGAGTCAGGATGGACTCTGGCAGTGAGTTTGGTTTGGTGCCTACTCAGTGTCTTAAAAAGGCAGTTATCGCCACTGTCATCAGTAGTCACGGATTCGGAGTACCTAGCTTGCTCATTATGGCTAAAATGTTACCTATCCCTTCTTATCTCTGGTCCAAGTTTTTAATGACCTTTTATTGTACTGTTTGGTTTCTTATTTTATGTGTTCAAGCTCTGTATTATTGTTGTTGTTGTTGTTCCTTCTAAAAATTATCCTCAGATTCCAACCTTGATGCTTTGTTTGACTCATCCGTGTATGGTTTTAGTTTACTTGGCTTACATCTTATGGGTTTTTAGGTCCTAATAATCTCAGGTTCATACTAGTAACTTTTAGTGGCATGGTGATTAGAGGTCATCCCTGATTTCTGAGATTTCCAGTTCTAACAAACGACACTTATGATGATCTGTATCTTCTGTTTGTTTTTGTTTTTCCCTTTGGTCCCGTGGGAGAAAGATGAGGCTTTCTACACGCATATAGAGTTGCAATCTTGGAAAACTCACAGGGACAGTGCCCAATAGGTTCGATAGGGTCGCTATAAGTCAGCATGGACTAGATAGCAGTGAGTTAGGTTTTTCTTTGACTTTATTGTTAGCAGTAGGTGCTGCATAGAGTGTTGAAGTACTAATTGGCTGATATTATTGTCCTCCGATGTTCACTTGCAGGTGCTTGATGTTATGATTTGCCATGTAAAACACTTTTGTGTCACAGACAATAATGATTTTTTTTTAAGAAGAAGAGGAATTTGAGTTACATTAGAATCTACTTCTGATGGAGTCCTTGGAATGGAACCCTATCAACGAGTTGGGGGACTACCTGGTTACAATTAAAGAGTCACTGCTTTCGATTATTGGCCAAAAACTCCCCACAATAGATGTAGTCTATTGTTAAACCCCCAGAGAAGAGGATATACACTTCAACATGCTGCAGGGAGTCTCCTACTTTGTTAGATTCCCGAACTGCTCACTCTTTTTTCCACCGTCCCACTCCCTCTGACCTGTGCATCTTCTCATGATACGCAGCAGCCGCCAGCACATAGGCTCCATTCATTTGTGAGTGTTACAAGCAGCAGCTACTGATGTCTGTTTATATTCTCGCTATGGTAAGACTTCAAACTGGCCCAGTTGTTTTGCTCTTTTAGTTTTTTTCAATATTTATCATTTTCAGAGCAAATTATCCGGAGGGCCAGAAAATATTAACTTTTTGAATGTTCACTAGCTGCCTGGAGTGATTTGAAAGAGAAGTAATCCACGTGCCTACTTTGTTTCAGGCAATTTCGCAAATGAAGAAGCGTTATCAAAATGAAGGTCTTTGTGCAAGTCACCTTTTCAGAATTCTTTTAGCAAATAAGAAAAAGGGAGGCGTAGAGGGGGTATTTAAGAGACAGTGTGACTCATATTTCTAACAAGAAAAGGCAATCACCAACCCTGTGTGGAAACAATGCAGGAGCACGTCTGTTGTTAACATCTCAGTCATTCTAGAAGTTGGGATTACCAACAGGCAGTAAACTTTAAATACTGGTGATTAGTTTACGTAACACTGGAAAAACAAATCTCCTTCCATCGTTCAAACAAATAGTTCTGATGAGCCCTTCCCAGTGTCCTTTATTTCACTTCCACTTAACTCTTGTGGAGTCTATCAAATCCTCTTATTAAAATGTTGTTCTCCCCCCACCTTAAATCTAGCTTTAGACACTAAAATGAATAGAGCCATTCCAAACAGAGCCTTACCCATTCTTAACCAGTGTCTTTTGTTATTTCTAATGCTACATTTGACTTTGTCCTTGCAAATTTTGGCTTGCAGACATAGTGTTCTCTACCTACATCTCCTTCTGGCCTCGGTAGGCCCGGATTCTTCACTCATTTCATAAACGTCCTTTCTCCTTTTCCTTGTGACCCATTAGCTTATTTCTTTAGTCACTCTCCTTCCTGTGGTCTTTAGAACTCCTATTATCATTCAATTGGATCCATTTAATTCTATATCATAAGAAAATATTTTATTATTTACCCGTATAATATTTTTTGAGTCAAGGAAGTTTTCTATGAGCAGAAATTAAATTGATTCCATAATTAGCTCTAATCTATCCTAGGCCCAAAGATCTCCTGCTGAACTTCTCTATATTGGTGTCCCGCTAATGTTATAAACATATCACACTCGTATTGCTGAAAATGAAGCTACTGCCTACGCATGCAGTCATCCTAGCCTGTGAACCGTGGTATTTTCTTCACTTTTTCTTTCTCCTCTACTCCACTTCTACCTGCTCAGCACAGCCTCTTGCATTACTGTCTAGGCTGGGTTTCCCGTGTCTGCTCAGGCCTAATGTGCATACCATTACACTCGTTCAGTCCCTCGCCACTTTGTTAGGGACTTATGACTGATCTCCCTGCCAGTCTCAGCACTCCCTCCACCTGTACCACCCCCACCAGTCCTTACCCCTTCCCATTCCAATCCTTCTTGCACACAGCTGTCACGTTTTTCCTCCTAAAATGTGACTCTCTCTAATGGTGGTTTATTTCTTCCCTAAATCCTTCACCGCCTCTCTATTGAATACAGAATCAATTTCATTACTTACTCAATGATTAAGATCTTCCACAGTCCAGTCTCAAATTATTCTCCCAACCTCTTCTCCACATCAGTTATTTACATTCCCTATACTCCAGACATTTTGGGGAGCTCTCTGAACTTTCTCTGTCCTTACTGCTTTTTGCCATGTTCCTTTTGCTTTGAATTCTCTTATCCTACCTCCCCAATCTCTACCTGCCATGATACTGTTCATTTTTCAAGACTCACACAACCACCACATCTCCATGAAGCCACAATTGATCTTTTACCCTCCTTCTCTCCTCACTCTGCCGCTCCCGTACCCGTCAACTGGCCAATTTTCACATCCTCTGTTTCTCTTTACTGGCCTGTCATCATCTATTTCCGCCTAATATAATGCCTTATACATGCTTCAAAAAGAAACTCCCCCAAACCAAACTCCTGCTATGCAGCCAATTCCATCTTAGCGACCCTTCCCAGGGTTTCTGAGACTCACTCCCATAGTCTCACTCACTCCCATGGAGTGACTGGTGGGTTCACACTGCGCACCTTGAGCTTTGCAGACCAGCGCTTATACCACACCACCACCATGGCTCAATAAATATGCATATATTGAAATATACACAAGTATATGTGATGCCCCCAGGAGATGCAAATGGTTAAGCACTAGACTACTAACTAAAAGATTGTCGGTTGGAACCTACCAAGAGGTGCTTTGGAAGACAAATCCAGCGATATGCTTCCAAAAGTTCGCAGCCTTAAAAACCCTAGGGAGCAGTTCTGCACTGCACACACAGCATCAGCAAGGATTGGAGTCATCTCAGCAACTAAGAACAGATATGTACACACACATATACATATATGCAAGTAAAAACAAATCCATCGCTGATCGCTACGTTTATGTTTCCTCTTTCTAACACATCCTTGCAAGCAATGTTTCTTTACTTTTGTGCTATCTCCAGACCCAAGACCTCCTTTTCCCAACTCTGGCTTTAGTTTGAGGAAGAAGGTAGACTGGATGGACTCCCTCCGAAGCCTACATTGCTACCTGTGGCTTTAATGAGGGAACGCTGAGGGCTCCTTTCACGCAGTGTCACCTGGTGAGTTTACCTGTTTATCTCAACTTTACCAACCTGTAAGAGTTTGGGTTACATATTGATCTCATCTGCTAAGAAGTATTTAAGTCTCTATGGGTAGGGGCTGTCTGAGCATATTCGGTGTGTGAATGCTGAAAACATAAATGATTATATAAATATAGACTGTATAAATGTAAAGGGGATGGAAATGTTGACAAAATTTCTTTTGAGTTCTCTTAGAAGAATGAATCTCAGTAATATTCCTAACCTATGATAATTTGCTACTTTGATGTTAACACAAGAAAACTGACATGAAAATATTAAGTTGAATCCTATGCAATTGATAATATTTGAGAATTTGGATAAAATTTTTAATATACCTCCACTGATGCATTACTAAAAGGAAGCGTCGTGAATTTTTAGAAATGAAGGTTAGTGTATAGGATCTGTGTGCACTTGGTTGGCTTCCTTTTATTGTTTGTTTTCTTTGACATTAATTGTTTTGTTAGCTCACTTTTGACTCAGCCTGTGAACACAGAGTGCTAATTAATAATGCTGTTTTTCAGTCATTGTGGTAATTATTGGATTAATTCTCTGATAGTTATTGTTACATATTAGTTTGTAATTAGTTGAGTTTATTATACTAGTAATTAAAATATAAAATTAATTATGGATTTCCTTTACTTTGAAGTTGGCCTGAAGGTACACACATGCCTTCTCAAGAAGCTGACGCAATAATTTTTGTGCATGTTGCTGCATTGTGCTGTTCGTCTCATTCCTCTCTTCCTGATTCTATCAGCAAACACATGTGGAACCAGCATCCTGACCATCTCAGTTCCTGACCTCCAGGAGAGTTTGTGTGTCAAACACATGGCCTATGATAAATGTTCACTGTGACAACTTTAGAGAAATATATTTGGGTCTTTGCTTAAGATGCCAGAGATGATGGAATTTGAAACCTTGTCCCGCTTTCTTCTCTTTCCTTGCCTTGATGTCAAGGGCAGGTGAGAGGCATTTCAGCACTGAGCATATGTCTCAAAACTTGTACCACCCAAACTCTCCCGCTTGGGTCTCTTTCTCTCTCCCCTTTTGGGGGTGGAAGGATTAAAGTATGAGTACCTATGAGTTACTTGGGCCTTTATAGTCAGCTCAGATGATCAGAATTTAAAAAGCCAGAGGGTTACTGCAGGCTCCCAAGAGTCACGGCGATTCACTGTCTTCAGCGATCACAGACTGAACTCTCTCCTCAACCTCTCATTTCACAAAGATCTTGAACAGTCCACAGAATGAGCCTGGCTGTAAGGATCGCGAGAGTTAAACAAATCCCTTCTCCCTCCGGGGAAAGCAGTTTTGCACTCAAGATCAGTTTAGCAGGGGATCTGGAGGATCAAACATCAGCATAGAGGCCATATACTTATTTATTTAACCTTTGCCTGTTTTGTATATGAGTATGATGAGTCCATCCCCCCCAAATTTAAATGGACTTGATATAAAAACACTGAATTTTCAGATATGCTTTCTGAACTCCCACACTACTTTATTTGTGATATCACAAATCACCCTTTGATTTTTATATTGCTGTAACTTCACATTTAAAAGAGCAGATGAATTCTACGTGCCTTTTGTCTTGTTAGACTTACTAATTTGGCTTGATTGGGAAGACGTGGCACCATTATCTTGAGTATTTCACTTGATTTGCATCTCGTAAAAAACTAGACCCTAAAAGAAAATCCCTTACTGGGCTGCTTCTCTCTGGGAAAGAACACACTTTATGGCCAGATGGAATGGCATCATGTCTCACTGTTGGGGTCGCACAGAAAAGACAACATCACCGAACACTTTCCATTCTCATACGGCGGAGGTTCCTAAGTTTTGTCAGGTGCTGCAACTTGGACCTAACACTGAGCTGCAGCTCAGGAGACAAAACAGTTGGAAAACTTGGAGAAAGGCTCTAAGGGTCAGTGAAATTTACTGTGGGCAGCTGCTGCTTCAAAGCTCCTCTCTGTGCAGAAGCCTATTAAGAAGTAGTAGGTTACGTTCCTGCCGTTTCCCCAGCATGATGGATGACGCTCAGCAAAGAGGGAAGACTTCCTGTGCTGTGGAGGTGGCTTTCCCCTCCACTGCCTCGCCGGCTTTCTCAGGCTCTCCCTCAGTGTCTAACTATTGCATTCACTGCTCCACTACATTCAATAATAACCTGGGCTTGTCAGGAATGACTGACTGTGAGTCACCAGTGACTCCTTGTCAATCAGCGGGACCTCCCACTCGCACATGTCTGTAGCTGTGCTGTCGGGCCAGGGGCACAAGGGCTGAGGGAAAAGGCTCGTGTTTGCACATGGACTGAAAACAGAAGAAGTGCCTTTAGCGGTTGCTTGACCTTTTCTTGCCTTCAGAAACATGTTCACTTCATCTCATATGAAGTTATTTCTTACGAGGCTTCTCTCCGGCCCTTCTACATACCACGGTCCCTCTTGCATTCATGCTCTTCCTTCCTCACTCCCCACTCCACCCCACCCCCGTAATTAACGTTTGCTCATTTCTTTCATTCTCAGTTTTTGAAGGAGCCTCCTGGCCTCCTTGTTAAGGTCACAGTTCTCAACCCCACGCACACTCAGGGCAGTGACTCTTCCTTTGTGGTACTCCTTTGGATGCCCATTAGATAGAGGTCTTTCTTTCTCTGCATTATTAAGGACTCTATTACTTACACACACACACACACACACACACACACACACACACACACACACACACACCAGTGCATGGTTCCTGTCCCCACCTCCCAGACATACAATCCAGGAGGGCAGGAGCAATGCTCGTGCGTCCTGACTTTGTTGCCGCTGGACAAAGTTGACTTCCAGGGTGCACACCCTCAGGAAAATGGTTGACCTTTCATTTGCATATTGTTAGGAGAGCAGGCACTTTTTAAAGACCGTCGTTATGGGTTTAAGTATATATGGACATACAACATACTAGTCTGAGGGACTTGTTTTTTTAGATCATTTTATTGGGGGCTTGTACAACTCTTACCACAATCCACACATGCATCCATTGCGTCAAGCTCATCTGTACATTTGTTGCCATCATCATCCTCAAAACATTTGCTTTCTGCTTGAGCCGTTGGTAGCAGGTCCTCATTTTTTCCCCTCCCTCTCCACTGTCCCCTCCCTCATGAACCCTTGATAATTTATAAATTATTTTTGTCATATCTTACCCACTCCCTTCACCCACTTTTCTGTTGTCCTCCCCTAGGGAGGAGGTTATATGTAGATCCTTGCAATCGGTTCCCCCTTTCCACCCCACCCTCCCTCCACCCTCCTGGTATCGCCACTCTCACCATTGGTCCTGAAGGGATCATCAGTCTGAGGGACCTTCTAAGAGTAAACCGACAGTGCGTGCTTAGGAACAAGTCTTGTCTATTGAGCAACCCTGCCTTTGTTTGTGGGGGTGGGGGGCTGCTCATCAAAGGGGGGGAAAATCACAGCTTTCCCAGATGAAATGAATATTGTCTCTGTCAAACAAAGGCTGCCGGTCCTGGTGTGGGTATAGGACAGTTCTTTCATGCTGTGTACAGAGAACTAACATACTTCTAGCAGAGCCCTGCCCTCTGGGACGTGTTCTCTCAATAGAGGATGCCATATAAAGAGCGGAGGAAAAGGGGGTCCGCTTGCGAGGGCAAGTCCAATTCTCTCCCCGCATAAACAGTTAGGTCTGTGGAATCGCAAAAGACAAAAATGTCGCTGCCAGTTGTTTTTGTGAGGTGCCATTGAGTTGGGCCTGCCTCATTCATGGGAGCCCTGTCGTACAACGGAATCAACCCCGCCGCCAGTCCTGCGCCATCCTCACCATCGTGCTTATGTTGGGCATCTGTGCAGCCACATGTCAGCCCACCTTGTCAAAGGTCTCCCTCTGTTTCGCTGCCACGCTTTAGCTCATGGTCATTTCATAGATCTGTACCCCATACAGACGTCGTGGTAGCCTCGTGGTGCTCGCCTGCTAACTGATGTGACCATCTGCCCTCGGAAAGATGACAGCCCGCGGAACCCCAAGGGCCAGTTCTCGTCTGTTCTAAGGGTTGCTATGAATTGGAATCAACTCAATGGCAATAAAACTCGTTTTTAAAAAAAAAAATCCATAAATATTGTGATTCCGTCCTAAAATTAATCCATCATTTAAAAGGAGAAAAATCAAGGTTTTCTACTGGCGTGTGTGAGATGGAAGTGGCAGGTGTATTTCAATTTAGTAGTTCTTTTTATATGGAGCTAATGAGTTAAATATTTAGGAAAATAAAAATTCATTTAGGGGTTCCCTCTCGCCATCTAAGTCCGAGGTTTTCCAGTCCCTGTGGCATCCCTTCAGGGAGAGCTGATGAGGGTGTCAGGGAAGGAGAAACCCAAGAACAGCTCAATTCCTCAACCAGAGAGGCTTCGTGTGGACAATTCTGTTTTAGAATTTCACTAGAAGAAACAGTTCTGCCATGATTTGCAAGCCTTTCTTTAAGCTTTGTAGCTCAGGAAAGTTGAACAATGCAGATGAGAGAAGTCAATTTGAATGCTGGAGGAGCAGGATCCAGAATATTTGTAAGCCGGGCAGCACAGTAAGGAGCCCTGGTAAAGTAGTGAGGTATGCTTTGGGCTGTTAGCTGCAAGGTCAGCAGTTCTAACCCATAGTCACTCCTCGGGAGAACGGTGAGGCTTTCTATTCTTGTTGAGATTTATAGCTTCATAAACCCACAGGGACAGTTCTACTCTGTCCTATAGGGTGGCTGTAAGTTGAAACAAACTCAGTGGTCGTGAGTGGTTGTAGTCACAGCGGCAGCAGTAATCGTCAGAGTGCAGCACAGGATAGTGTACAGAAAAGAGAGAGGATCAGGGACAGAGTTTGGGAAGTGATAAGATTTTTTCATTGATCCGCAAAGCAGTTGGAATATTAGGTCAGAGGCTGAATGCACTCTGGACACACAAAGGTTCTTCTTTGAGGCGCCTGAGCTGAGGAAAAGACAAGCAACAACAGCACAAACAATCACT